ACACACACACACACACACACACACACACACACACACACACACACACACACACACAAACACACACACACACTCGACTTTCTCACCCACGTCTTCACCCTCAAACACGAAGACCACCACCACCTCCACTGGCTATATCCAAGCCATGCCCGGCTATTGGGGCTGGCTATGACGCTGCCCTCAGCAGCGCCCTGCACCCTGCATGTCCGCACGTGCACGCAGCACCAGCGTGAGCGCAGCAAGCAGCCCCGAGCGATCGCTCCAGCAGCGCTGCCGCCCACAATTGCGAGTGCCCGAATGTCCACCCCGAATCCCATCCCTTTCCTACATGGAAAGTGGCAGGCTCTTTCCGCTTGCTTCCACGTGAGACCGAGTTTCCAGTAGCTTCAGTCTCGGCCAAAGTGTCTGCGCCCAGGCCCGTTCAGACAGTGGCCTGGGACCGAATTGGTTAGGCATGCCGCCCAGGCACAAACGTGCGGTGCTCCTTGCTTCGACCACGTTGCTGGAAGAGCCGGGAAGGATTCTCTCGAGCAAGGCGGATGTAACCAACTGGCGCGTGGCAACTGTCTGGCGCCCACCAAGATTTGCAAAAATTGACGAACTCAGGGCACATCGGGATTCAGGGGGCCCGCCTTCACTTAGGGCGGGCACACGCCTGCTGCAGGGCCTTATGCCGAGGGGTAAACCCTCGCAATTCAGACACTTTGGAGTGCTTAGACAAGAGGAGAGGAAGGGGAAAAGAGGGGGAAAAATAAAGACGAAACATTCACAAAAGGTTTTTACAGCACCACCACTGCTACAACAGACAAAAGAACAAGGTGCTGCAAGGTGCTGTATTGGCCCTTTTTTAAGTTTCTTCTTCCTTTTTTTTTCCTTTCCATTGATTTCCAGGCAGATAGCAAAAACAAAACTCCCTTTCCAGCAACCCAACCACTGGAATAGATCTCCCTTTCCTTCCACATTGCCCTGATTTCCAGGCAGATAGCAAAAAAAACTCAGCTAAAATGCTTTGTAAATTATTATAAGTCTATAGTGCAACGAAAATGAGCGAGAGCGATAGACAGAAAACCAAATTGCAACTTCACATTGAAGATCAGATAGTCGTGTCCCAAGCAGAAAGCACAGCGTGCTGAGATTCGAGCCAAATAAGAGCAATACAAAGAATTCAAATGTCAATGTCGGCCTTCTCTCACCACCATCCACATCGTATCCAATTTTGCCCTTCTCGATTGGTGCCCAGCGCCCTGCCTACAGCCACTCAGAACCTACTCTAGTCTACTCTACGATATGCATCAGGAACCACTTCGAGCTGAAGACCGATGTACGTGACGAAGTCGCCAATGCAGACTGCCGCATAGACCAGGTACGCGTCTCTTCTCTCCCGTCTCCCCACAGTGTGCATCCCCGTCACCTGAAGACCACCATCGCCGACACCAGCATGCGCCCATCCAGCCCGACTATGGCTGTCGTGCGCCGGCTGCCTCTGCAGCGCCCTACACCACTGTGCGCCCTGCAGACTGCCACATAGACCAGGTACGTGTCTCTTCTCTCCCGTCTCCCCACAGTGTGCATCCCCGTCACCCGAGGACCACCATCGCCAACACCAGCATGCACCCATCCAGCCCGACTATGGCTGTCGTGCGCCGGCTGCCTCTGCAGCGCCCTACACCACTGTGCGCCCGTGTGCGCCCTCCAGCCTGACTGCTCAGTGGCCTCACAGCACTATGATCCAGCAGCGCTGCCGCACCGCGCTCACAGGCCAGAATGAGCTCTCTGGCGCAGCGCACTTTCCTATATGGAATGTGCTGCGCCCTTGAGGCTGACTGGGCCTGGAGGCCGAGTACCATCTAGCCTGGCGTTGGGCCAAAGTGTCTGCGACTCTGCGCCCAGACCCATTCAGATAGCGGCCTGGGACTGGAGCAGTTAGGCCACTCACTGCTGAGCGACATGGCTGCTGTCACTCGCTGCACTCTCATTGGCCAAAAGACCACTTGCCACGTAGCTGCCGGGAATCTCATTGGCCGAGAAAACTCTGGCCATGCAGCAGTGGAAGCTGGGTGAGCCCAGAGGCTCAGCATGTCGTGCTCCCACTGGGCATGGGCCTTGTAACCAACTGGCCCATGGCAACTGTCTGACGCCCGCACATACAGAAATGACAAATAAAAGGCCTCATGACGAAATGCAGGCCCGCCTTCACTTAGGGCGGGCACGAGGCTTGCTGGGGGGCCCTTGGTCTGTCGGGTGCCGAGGCCTGAAAGGCCATGCGAGGGCTCATTCCTCGCAAATTCCGTCGCAATAGCCTTTTTACTAAGTTTATAGGTGCCGGATTTCCAGACAGAGATTGCAAAAATTATAGGTGCCTGATTTCCAGGCAGAGATTGCACAAATTAGCTATCGAAGCCGTTCTTTGACTTTTCCGTGCTGCAATTTATGGTTTTATGTATAGGTCCTCCTCATTACTTCCTATACTTTTCCCTTAGACTTGGCTTTTCCTATTGCAAAAGCATTCTCCTTCCAAAAAATCTAAGTACTATTTCCAATTTCCCACACCTCTGTTGAGGATCTGTCCTTGGGCAAAATATCCACGAGCATAAGTTGTGAATAAACGGGTTGTGAATCTGTCCAGAAATCAGGCCAAATTCATAAAACGTTACAAACCAGCGCAATAGGTACCATCTGTACCAGTGCTGATGTGATCACTATTGTAGTCATGGTTTTTCTATTCTGGGGGGTGTCAGTCCGGTTGCTTATCACCGGCACGCATGTTTTGCACAAAGGCAATGGGGAGAAAAGATAAGAAAAGCTAGGCTGGTCGCTGGGCCGCCTGGCGACCTGGACGTCGCCTGGGGGGCAGCCCAGGCCGCCTGGCCGGTTGAGTCACCCAGTTGCCCACCGGGTGATCCCAGCGCATCACAGGTGGGGGGGATTTTTGTTTTTTTTTGGACGCCTGGGGCCTTTTCTCCCCCCCAGGACGTGCACAAGGTAAAAAACCATCGAAACCAGGTCCAGTAACCCCGCCCTAAACAATTCAAAAGCGCGGCCGATCTGGACCGCTGATCTCGAGAGATTGGCGGCCCAGATTGGCCGTCCTTTTGAATCTTTTAAGGTGGGAACTACCGGAGTCGCTTTCAATTTCTTTTGGCCTTGCACCACTACACAACACTCTACATGCATTTGGATGCTTCTTGGGGCACGTACAGGGATGTAGAGTGTCGTGTAGTGGAGGTAGGACCCCAGTTCCCTCACCTGCGTTTCCCCGCCCGCTGCCCCCGACCTACCGCCCATTCCAACGATCGGCTGCCAGCAGTTCGCGCGCCCTCCTCTCTTTCAGCCCGTCGTCACGCCGTCGCCTTCAGCTCCCAATCCGCCCGCCATCGCCCCAGCCCATCGTCGCGCCTGTGCAGACCGTGTGCCATTGTCTCCACCAGCAAGTTGTTAGTTCTTCTTCTTCATAGACAGAGAGAGAGAGAGAGCCCTTCTTCTGCTGCTGCTTTTTCTTCTTGTTCTACCTCCTGTCAAACC